CATGAGTAGAATGTGTCCTTTTATTTAAAATGCATCTCTGGGGCATTTGTGTGGCCTAGGAATTTGTTCATATTTTTTTCCAAAACATAGTCCGGCCCACCACATGGTCTGAGCGACGATGGACCGGCCCACGGCTGAAAAAGGTTGCTGACCCCTGCCTAAGAGACATTGTTTGAAGCCTCAAAGACATTGTCAGGTGCCTTTTTCAGACCAGCTGCACTGTGCAAAACAGGAACCGCACCCCAGAATCCACTGCAAAGTATTGTCGGCTGCACCTCTTGGGTAACATGCTGCTTCACCCCTTAAAATCCAAGTCAAGCAACCACTTGACTTCCTTGCTCAGTTGGGTCGGTCACAAGTGTTTGCTTCAGCTTTGAAAAGGCAGACAGGCTTTAGTGGCTTCTTGATCTCCTAGAAGACTCAACGGGTCTTGTGAGGTAGGTGTTTACTTTTCCTCATATGCCAGCAAAGGGTAGGAAGGGGGACCAAATTCCTGAATGAGCATATGGACAGAACAGCTTCTATGCCTTCACGTCATGCACCCTCCACCTCAAGCCAAGACAGTCCAGCTAACCTTGTAACTATGCCAACGCCCAACATTCAAGAAAGGCATTCATTTGAGCCTTGAGGACACCAAGCACCTTCTTACATATGCAGGAATCCTGCCAGCTCCACCTCCAGGCTCTCTGACTTTTGCTTTCATGTGGTAAACAAAGAGCTCTCTAGGTAACCCATCCAACTAGTGAATTGTGCTTCCTTCCTCCTTTCCACCCACCTTGTGCTATAAGGAGGAGAAGCTGCAAGCAAACCACTGGCTCAGAGAAAGGAGAGGAAACAGAATGGACAGCTCTGAAAAAGGCACCATCATCAATTTCTAAAGGACAATGAAAAGGCAGGCAGAGGTATCCATTCCACTAGTGGGTGGTCATCAGAAACCCAGAAGTCGCTGGGAAGACCCAACAGTTTAAAAAGCCTTGCAAATCAGCAGAACACCCAGAACAGAGTCAGACTGCAAAAACCAAAGAAAATTTGGGGACATCCTTCCAGAAGTATTGAGCAGAGGATAGAGAGAAGTAATGCAAGAGAACACCAAAGAGGAAGCCAAGAGCCAGGAGAGCATGTTCCGGAGCTCATGGCCCTGCCCCAAACATTTTGATGCCAAGAGGTGAGAAATCCAAGGGGCACTTCTCCATCACCGCCCCGCAGAAACACTAGACGCAATCCTGCAGGAAATTCTCCTGCACAAGCCCCATTGAAATGAATCAGAGTTGCAGCACAATGGAACTTGTGCAGGAGAACTTTCCATAGTAAGACTGGATCTTACGCATCTCTCCCATTCTGAGACACTTACATATGGCCAAAATCCTCATGGTAGGCAGTAACGAAGCAGAAGCAAACCGAGAAAGCACAGCATGTGAACAAGGATCTCCTTTCTGGAAAGGATCCAGCAAGGCACTGAAGGAGGATGGCAGCAGAGGCCCACACATCTGCTGAATAAGTTGTAGCATGAGTAATTTGGGTGGTAAAGCTTCTCTCTGCTTCCTTCTCATGCCAGGCTAACCACCCCCCATGGAAATTCAGAGCAGATGTTCCCCAGCACCCTCCCACACACTGACACCCCTCCTCCTTAAAAAAAAGCACAAAAGTAGCTCCAGCAATTCCTAGTCCAGTCTTCACAAACCAGGGCACCAGGCTGCAGGGGGGACTGACCACAGTCAACAAAATAAATCTGATGGCAAACCCTCCAAGTGTCCCTATTTTCCAGGGACGTCCCTGAATTAGAGAAGCCGTTCCTGTTTCTGATTTGATCCCAGAATGTCTCGCTTTTTCTCAGGATGTCCCTATTTTCATTGGAGAAATATTGGAGTAAAGAGTTATCCAACCTGTGAGCCATCTGAAGGCAATCCTGCCCTGTATATGGAAGTTTTTTAAAATAAATGTTAACTGTTTTATGTTTTTAGTATATGTTGGAAGCTGCCCAGAGTGCTGGGGCAACCCAATAAGATGTGTGGGATATAAATAGTAAAATTATCATTATGGAATGGGATGTCCCTATTTTCACTGGAGAAATTTTGGAGGGTATATGATGGATCAGGTCACAAGGAAGAAAAGGTGTTGTTGGACTAAACTTGCCTCAGCCCAGCCAGCACAGCAGCGCTAACTCCAGCCCCAGGCCATGCTGCCAGGAACTGATGTGAGTGTTGGAAAGCCAGAGCACAAGACCAAGGGCCTGCTTCCTAAGGCGGACGCTGATTCTCAAGAGGCAATCATAGAACTGTATAGTTGGAAGGGACCCCAAGCATCATCTAGTCCAACCCGCTGCCATCTCAACATGCGATCCTCCGTCCAGTTTGAAACCATACAGAACCCTGCTTAGCTTGGCCCATGTGCACCACCGCCAAGGGGTAGCCAGCAGCTCCTTCGCCCCCGTCTGATTTTACACGGTCAGCTCCTCGCAAGAAGGGCCTGTCCAACCTTCACTCCGGCTCGCGGAGCTCAGAACAGCGCTATATACGCCAATGACGTTACAGACACAAAACTACTCCGCGGCACAAAAGCTTCCATGGGCCAGAATCCACTCCAACCAAGAGGGAGAGAAACAAAACAAATGTGCGCAAATCCGAGGAGGCTTTTTCCTGAATAACTAACTGCCCCGTTGTTGTTGTTGTTGTTGTTTTTTGGGGGGGTTAATTGCAAAGTGCAAAAGACACGAGAATATATTCGGTGGGCGTGTGATGCCTATATTTCTCTGACTTTCCCTCCGCCCCGGCTACAAACAGAGCTTCCCCGCTCTTGCAGAACCAAGCGAACTTCACCGCCCGCGACTTTCCGATTTGGCCCCCAAACCGGGCGGCGAAGGCGGCAGGGGAGGCTTGGGTCCTCCGCCGGGCTCCGGCGCGAAGAGGCCGCGTGCGCTACGAGCCGAGCGCCCCTGGTACCCCGCGGCCGAGGCCCACGGAGGCCGGCGCCGGCGCTCTCGGGACGCCTCACTCACCATGGCTCGCTGGCTGGCTGGCCGGCTGCGCTCCGGCTCCGGCTTCTGTCTCGCTCACTGGCAGGCTGGGCTCAAGGCGCTCCGGCCCGAGCGCGGCGCTGGGGAGGCCGGCGGGGCGCCCGCGCCATCACACAGCCAGCCGCCGCCGAGTCCTGAGGGAACTTTGGAGCCGGCGCGAGTGGAGCTGGGCGGCGCCTCCCCTCCGGGCTCCTCCCGCGGGCCCGCCGGCCGCGCCTCGTTTCCCATACAAGGCCGAACCGGCGCCGGCCCGCCCAGCCTGCGCGCCCTTTCCTGAGGGGGAGCCCGGCGTGGAGCCAGCGCGGGCGGGCGGGCGGGCGGGCGGGCGAGCGGGCGGCTCCGCTGAGGGAGACGGCTCCGCGCTCCTCGAGCGCTAGGCGGGAGCCTACTGCCCAGTCCGCGCATTACAGTCCTGCCCTCCCTCTCTCAGATGAGCTGCTTTGGGGCAGGTTTTGGATGGCTGGTATTGTTTCGTTACGTTTTCCTCACAGCGACCCTGTGAGGTAGGCCGGGGGCCAGGTCCTCCCACTCTCCATCTTCTAAGCCAGCATTGCTTCCAGGAAGGTGCTATTGCGCAAGGAAAGGAACCCCCCCTCAAGCTAAAAGGTTTAAGACAACTTACAGAGGGATAGAAAAGTCCCCCCTCCCCGGCCAAAAATAAAAGTGTTCCTTAATATAAAGCCCTCTCGCTTGAAATACAGTGGTACCTCGGGTTAAGTACTTAATACGTTCTGGAGGTCCGTACTTAACCTGAAACTGTTCTTAACCTGAAGCACCACTTTAGCTAATGGGGCCTCTTGCTGCTGCTGCACCACCGGAGCACAATTTCTGTTCTGATCCTGAAGCAAAGTTCTTAACCTGAAGCACTATTTCTGGGTTAGCGGAGTCTGTAACCTGAAGCGTCTGTAACCTGAGGTACCACTGTATTTCCCCACACTGTTGATTGGTTCTGCCATAGGTAACACCCCTGAATAATTTGGACCTCTTCCTAAGCGTTACTGATTGCGATTGTGAAGGCAAAACTTTGCAACCATGGCTAGTAGTCACTGTTTGCCTTCTCCTTCATTGTCTGATCCGCCTTTAAACCCATCCAAGTTGTTAATACACTGCGGTGTCCAGACCAGACTAGGACCCAGGTGTCCAGGGTTCAAGTCCCCTCTTGGCTATCAAGCCCCCTGGGTGACCTTGGACCAGGTTTCGGGCTCTCAGCCTAGCCTACCTCACAGGGTGATTGTGAGGATAATTTGGAGAGAGGCATTGCATCTTGTACACCACTTTGAGTTCCTCGGAGAAAAGATGGAGTTTTCATGTAATAATAAAAAAAAGCACCAAGAAAGGCCTCTAGGTGCACAAACATGTTTTAAAAAGATGCCTGGAGGTGGCGAATGTGGGTGAGCACCCAGGCAGAGAGAGAAGGTGGCTCCATAATACAATGAAGCCCCCCCCCCCAAAAAAAATAATTTAAAGATCTAATACACCATGACTAAATGATGGACCACTAGCCAGCCAACAACATCTGGGCAAACAGGTGAGTTTTAAGGAGGTGCCAGAAACTGGACCACAGTCCTGGCCTGCCTTATTTTCTTGATTATCCAGAGGGATGCAAAACTGGGAGGATTTGGGGAAACTCTTAAGGAGAGCCTAGATCCAGCTGTCTGAGCCTTCTGCCTGGGGGTAAATGCAGGGCTGGGCCAGACACTTGGCAGCTTCCTGAAGTTGCCCAGTGGTGCCATGGGCCTGGCAGAGAGAGCGTTCCTGGGGCCCAGAGCCCATTGGCTCCAGTCCTTGGCCAGGCTCTGACCTCACAACCCGCTGGGGAATCCTGCAGAATGTTTTGTTTCCTAGGAGGCCAGGTGAGTTGTTTAAAAGGATCCCTGGGTCAGTTGAAAGCCAGTTGGGTCAGTTAGCAGCCCATAAAGCAGTGATCCTTCTTTTGTGGTCTTGAAAGCCTTTTGTGGTCTTTCTGGTTCTGAAGATGTTTTGCATAATGTGCCGGATGGTAGAAGGTAAAGTCATGGGAAAGGGGGGAGGTATCCTGAAGATTTGTGCTCCCACCACATGCCTAGTTTTTAAAGATGCTCCTTGGTTATTTGACCTTTCTAACTCCCATGCTGTGTTAAGTGAGCCAGCAATTTTCCCAGGGAGTTTTCTGATGAATTCTCTGAGTTTCCTTTTTCGTCACCATCCAAATTGCAACAGTTGGAGTCCCGTTGCAACATCTGGAGGGAACCAGGTTTGGGGAGGCTTGATGGAGAAAACATCAGCGTAATTTAGCATCATAACACTGGGCCAGGGGTTTATCCTGACTCTGATCAGGAGTAGCCAGAATCAGCCACTTGCTGCCCAATGTGGAAAGTGGATCAGAGGACCTTGTTAGTCATCTGCAGGAGAGCAGCCCTGGGGATCAGCTCTGCACTCTTTGCAAAATAAGAAGTACCGTAACTGGCAGTGCCTTTTGTCTGTTTAAAAGGTTGTTGTGACTTGGCGCAGAGTTCGGTTTTTTAATTTTTTTTATAATTTTAATTTATATTACAACAATAGTTCAACTATAATTCTAACATTTCGAACCTTGACTTCCTTCCTGCTCTTTCTGTGGTTCCTTATATTTATTTTCACATTTTCTGCATACTCCAAATTATCTTAACTCATTCTTTTAATCATCTGTTCTCACATATATTTTTGAAACTGCAGGTTTTTGCAATAATCCCGCCAACGTTTTAATCCATTTACAGTTTATTTGTAAATATTCAATAAACCATTTCCATTCCATTATAAAAAGTTTTGTGTCTTATTCTTATTCTTTAGTTTCTTATTCTTCTGGTAAGCTTTGTCATTTCTGCATCCATTAGTTTTATTATCTATTCTTCTTTCATCGGGACATCTACTTCTTTCCATTCTTGCAGCTGCAGCTGCATATATAAATAAATTTCTATACTGTTTAGGTAGTTCTGATCCTATAATTCCCAAGAGAAAAGCTTCTGGTTTTCTTACAAATGTTACCTTAAACATTTTTTCAATTCATTATATATCATTTGCCAGTAAGCTTTGACCTTATTACAAGACCACCACATGTGAAAAAAACGAACCTTCTTTCTCTTTACACTTCCAACACTTATTCGCTTTTGATTCATACATTTTTGCCAGTCTACTAAGTGTTAAATACCATCTATATAACATTTTTCATATAATTTTCTCTTATACCATAGCAAGTTGTAAATTTTATATCCATATTCCACAATCATCCTCATGCCTCCTTTTCAATGTTATGACCAATATCTATTGCCCAACATATTGTTGAAGATTGCACTTGTTCAGCCTTTGTTTCCCATTCCAATAACATCTTATGCATTTTAGTCATCACTTTATTGTTACAGTCTAACTGATCTTTGCTTCTCCCTTCTTCCACAGAACAGCCAGAGTCTCAGATGGGAGAGCCAAGCCGGACCCCTCCCTCCCCTCGGAGCTGGAGGAAGTCTTTCAATACGAGGGGAGCCTGTGGAGAGACGGCCGGCCGCAACATCGCTGGTTCTCTTCTGGCAAGGGAGGTCATCCGGCAGGAAGCCATTCATAGTGAGGAGGGTCTTTCTGTGGCTCTTACCTCAGGTCTCCCTCATAAATATTAGGCAAGGGAGTCCAGGGGGGATCTTCACTTTCGTAAAGCATGGGGAGGGAGGGAGTGCCTGGGAGATCGGCTGGGAAGTGGGTCCTTCTCCCTCCCAAGGGTAGCCTGGAACTTTTGAATTCTCAAAAATGGCCAGGAGATCATTTTTCTCCAAACAAGACCCAGAATGACAGTGGTGGACTTCGGGCTCTCAAATTCCAGTGCCATCCTGTGCAACTCCCACCCACAAGGCCCACTGCCACCTCTCGTGCTCTGTACCAGAGCGCTGTTTTGGCACCCCCTGCAGTGCGGTGCCCAGTGCAGCCACACCAGTCACGCCGCCCTAAAACCGCCAGAGCCATGGGGTGCTTCCTGGTGTCCAGGCTGGCAAATGGCCACAGCTCAGCAGTGGAGCCCTTGCCTTGCCTGCATGAGCCCCAAGTGCAGTGGCATCTCCAGGAAGGCCTGGGAAGGAGGGACCCCTGCCTGAGGCGCTGGACAGCCACCTGCCGATCAGCATGGAGGTCACTTTGGGCCAGGAGGACCAACTCCTTGGCACCCCACCAATGGCCACTCTTTGGGCTTTGCTCCCAGTTCAGGAGGAGAGCAGGATCCATCTCTCCTTGTCAGGCAGAACCCAAGTCTTTTTTCAAAGAACAGTCCACTTTAGCTGCCTCTCTTCCAGACCCTGCTGGGATGTGGCCTCTACCTCACGTTATTCCCCTTCTGCCCTCTTTGCACAGAGCTGTTTATGATGACCTGAGCTCCCTTCGTATTGTGGCCATGCTCTTCTATCAGCGGCTCCATACAGAAAAGCTCCTTTCGCAGGAGGAGCTGACCCTCATCTTCCCCGACCTAAGAGAACTGATTAAGATCCATGGTAAGTCTGCTTCCCCTCCAGACTGTGGCTGGCCCAGGCCTCCACTCCATCCTGGGTGCGTCAGGGGCAGAGGGAGAAGGGACAAAAAGAAAAGCACAGCATCCAAAGAGCTCTGCAGCAGGATCAGGCCCAAGGGGCCCAGCCACACCTGCAGCCTTTTTTCAGGGGGGGGCGCAAGCAACAGGGCAGGAGCTCAAGCGCAATGCCCCCCACCCCCGGAACAGGGATTGTTCAGAGGCATCCACTGCCTTGGGTAGGGGAGGATGGAGGGGGCAGCCAGTTGCTGCCTCTGAGCCTAACCTACCTCACAGGGTTGTTGTGGGGATTAATTGAGGAGGGAATCCATGGACACCCTCTTGAGCTCCTTGGAGGGTAAGGTGGGGTGTAAATGACATAAATAAATGAGACGCCAGGTCTCTCCACCACTGAGAAAGTGGTATTTTAAAAAGAGCAGGCCGTCTCCGTCCCCCTCCTGTCCCTGCTGGGGTTATTCTTTATTCCCCCACTCCCATTGCCTTGCTCAACCTCTCCTCCCGTGTTTCTTCCCTCCCCTCCCAGGTTCTCTGTTGGGGAAAATGAGGGATCTGCTGGAGAAAGGGCCCCTCACCAAGAAGATTGGGGACCTCCTCCTTTCCCAGGTAAGGATCCCAGAGCAGGGTGGAGAGGCTGGCAGCAGCTGGGAAGGGGCTGCCTGTGGGTCTCCAGTGGACTGGGGCCCTTGATTTCCTGATGCTCACCAGGCGTGTTTCCTCTCCAAGGCCCCCTACCTTCCCCCCAGTTTGGTGTGGCTGCAAGCGAGGAGTTCCGGCAGGCCATCCTCAAAAGCAGCTTGCAGCAGGCCAGGGCCCTGGAGATTCTTAAAACGAAGCAGCAGAGGGATGCTCAGCTCCGGCATGTCATCCAGGTAAGCTGTGTGAGAAGAGGAGGCTGAGCTCACGGAAGGGGCCTTCTCAGCTGCTGGCTGGACACTGTCCCTGGGGGGCTCTTTTCCCATGCTGGCCCTGAAAAGTTGGATGGGTCCAGCAAAGTTCCCAGCCTTTTGAGGTCCTTTCCAGTTGTCCTCAGTTTGCGGGCTCAGGACTTTCCGACATATGGGCATAAAGTGGGGTTCATCATCAGCCTGCTGTCCGAAAGCTGCCACAAGAGAGTCCATTGCTGGCCGATTTTGACACCTTAGGCAACAACTCCAGGGCATGTACACGGACCCCGTCAGGACTCAGACTGCCAACTGCCTGATCTGGAAGCTGTAACAGAGAAATCAGTTGGTGGGGAAGTATGCCAGTGAATTTCAGCTGCTGGCACAGGAATTGGCTTGGAATCAGGCAGCTCTAGTGGACCAGTTTCAAGAAGGGCTTTCAGACCCACTTCTAAACAAACTGGCCCACACAGAGTGCCTGCAAAACCTGATTCACCTGTGTCTCAGGATTGCTCAGTGCCTACAACAGTGCCAACAGGACCCATCTGGTGGCACCTTCTCCAGGGGGTGCCGTGCCCCAACCCACTCCAGAAGTGCCTCCTGCTGAGGAGTCACTGCAAATAGGGGGAATTCGCCCTCATTTGGTGGCAGTTGGCAATGAAAGGAGACGCAGAGAGGGAGACCAGCCCTGCAGACCTGGGCCATGATCGATTCAGGGGCTATGGCCAACTTCATGGCCATGGATTTTGCTACCTGGCAGGGAATCCCCAGTCACCTCTTGTGGTGGAAACAATTGATGGCCAGCTTTTGGCCTTGGGACTGGTGACTTGGGCAGTGGACAAGCTGCAGCTGCAGGTGGGGACTCATAGTGAGGAGGCAGAGTTTTATTTGGCTTCTGCACTCCATTTCCCCATTGTGTTGGGCCTGGAGTGGTTGGAGGCCCATGATCCACACATCAGTTGGTCCCAGAGGACAATCAGCTTTGGTGTCCTGGGCTGCATGGGCCATGTCTGTTTGGCACTAGCAGCCCTGGCAGCAGGAATGGAGAAGGATGGGCTTGCCGACCTGCCTGCTAAGTATGCCGAGTTTGCTGATGTGTTCAGTGAAACAGAAGCAGACCTCTTGCCACTTCATTGACCCTACAACTGTCCTATCAACCTGATTCCTGGGGCTCAAATTCCAGTAACCTGTATCTGCCCTTTGTTGGAACCTGAATGGGCCACATTACGTGAGTTCATTATTACCAAGAATCTGCAGAGATGTTTTATATAACCCTCTTCCTCACCAGCTGCTGATTCTGTACGATTTGTGAGTAAGTTGCGGGAGTTGTGGCTTTGCAGTGATAACTGGTGTTTAAACCAGGTTACCATCCATAATTGATACTCACTTCCCTTCATTGCTGAAATTTTGGAGCAGCTGCAGGGGGGGGGCACACTATTCACCAAGCTGGACTTGCAGGGAGCCTATAACCTGGTGCACATCTGTGAGGGTAATGGATGGAAGACAGCATTTCGGACACGATATGGGCACTTTGAGTACACTGTAATTCCCTTCAGCTTGACCACTGTGCCTGGTCTTCCAACATTTCATGAATGATGTGTTCCAGGACCTCCCTGACCGCTTTGTTTACCTTGACAAGATCCTGATCTACTCCTCTTCAGCCACTGACCATGAGCAGCATGTATACACCCTGCTGCAGAGATTACAAGAGCATTGCCTGTTCTCCAACCTCTTGAAGTGCGAGTTTGACAAGCCCACCATCGACTTCCTGGGCCATTGCATCTCAGCCGATGGCAAGGTGGAGACTATGTTGTCCTGGCAGTCTCCCCATAACCCCAAGGAGGTGCAGAACCTACTGGGATTTGCGAACTACTATTGTTCGTTCATCCTGCACTTCACTCAGGTCACAGCATCTCTGACCGTCCTCCTTCGGAAAAAGGCTGTGTTTGTCTGGGATGGTGCAGCTCAGGAGGCATTAGATGCCTTGAAGGCTGTGTTTGCTTCAGAACCCATCCTTAGGCAACCGGACCCAACACTGCCGTTTGTGGTGGAAACTGATGCTTCGGATGTTACGGTAGGGGTAGCGCTACTGCAGGCCGACCCACAGCCTTCGGTGTTCTACCCCTGTGGGTACTACTTCTAAAAACTTCAACCAGCAGAGCAGAATTATGGCATTTGGGATGAGGAACTATTGGCTGTCGAAGTGGCCATTGAGATGTGGCATCATTTGTTAGAGGGGGCCCGTTATCTGGTTGAAGATCGGACAGACCATTGGAACCTAGAACATCTCCAGTTAGCCAAGAAGCTGAATCAACGCCAGATCCAGTGGTCCCAGTTCTTCAATTTCAATGTCATCTATATTCCCCGCAGCCAGAACCAGCAGGCTGATACCCTGTCTAGGAAGCCGGAGTATGAGCAGTCCGATGATGAGTCACATACAGCCACGGCCTTGCCGCCTGCCAGCTTTGCTCTGGCCCAAGTTCCTGGGGACTTTCTGTGGGAGCTGCATGAGCAGGGTGCCTATTCGCAGCACCAGCGGCAAGAATTGCCTGAATGGGCCGGACACACTCCTTGCCATTGGACTCTGTACCAGGACGTGCTTCTTTTTTGGGACCGTTGTTATGTGCCTCCTGGTCCACTACGGGGAATTTTTCTGCGGTTATGCCATGACAATCTTCCGGCAGGGCACTTCGGATGCTTCAAAACTTCATTTGCTGGCCAGGGACTTTTGGTGGCCTCATCTTCGGGTCAAGGTGGAGCAATAGTGGCCTCCTGCCCAGTCTGTCGTCGGGCTAAAGACGGTCCTGGCAAGCCGGCAGGACACATTCTACCTCTACCAATTCCTGAACAGCTCTGGCAGACAGGACTTTATCACTGACCTGTCTCCATCCCGGGGCCACTACCATTTTGGTAGTGGTGGATACCTTGACCAAGGTGGTGCATTTTATCCCTTGCACTGGCCTCCCCTTGGCCAGAGAAACTGCAGACCTTCTTGAGGGAGGTGTTTTGGCTGCACACCTGCTGCAGCATCTGGTGTCCAATAGAGGACCACAGTTTACTCCCTGCATTGGATGAATGACAGTGGGACCTTTGCTACTCTTTAAGTGACCTACCTGGGCCACCAATGAAAGGTAATTGCTATCTACCCTATCTTCAACTTAAAATAATTGAATTTTTGAATAAACAGCATATGACACAAATATGTAATCTACCATACTGCCTCCATTCTGGATATATAAGCATATTGCCCAAATTGATAGATAATCCTATTTTGTGAGGATATGTCTGTGGTGTTAATATTGTCCTCATCTAGGGCAACAGCTTTACTTATTAGGTCATTATCCTCCCACGATTCTCACATTAAAATCCCCACATAACGAAACCTCTGTTGTTGAGAATTTTTCCTCAATACATTGTAGAGCTTGTTCTAGATCCTGCCAGGGTTGTTTTGCATCGTGGTTTATGTGTTTAGGCAGTGCTTAAAAAAATAAAAATGTTTAGCGGTACTCTCATTTTGACTCAAGAAAATCACCATTTTATAGTTCAAATTGGGGAAAATAAATGCAGTAAATGGACAAAAGTACAAAGATTCACAAAATGTTTAGGGGTATATGTACCCCTGCATACCCCCAGAAAAAGGCACTGTGTTTAGGAGGGATATACAGTATACATTTAAGCAGGTACATGAATTCATTTTAGGAAGGTTTACTAATACTGTCTGGATATGACCATTAACGTATTTTTCGCCCCATAGGGCGCACCGGCCCATAGGGCGCACCTAGTTTTTTGGGGGGGAAATAAAGGGGGGGAAAACTATTTCCCCCAGGCGGCTGGCGGGGAAGCCCGAGCTTCCCCCGCCCCCAGCCCCCAGAACAGGCTCCTATCTGCAAGCCTAGGGAGCCCGGCGGGAAGTCGCGCCAGTCTCCCCAGGCTTGCGGATATCTGCCCGCGCTGAGCGCGCCCCAAGCTTCGGATAGCTGCGCGAAGCCTGAAGCCCGAAGCCTGCAGGCAGCTATCCACAAGCCGTGGGAGAGCTGCGCAACTTCATGCGGGGCTCCCATGGCTTGCGGAGAGCTTCCTGAAGCCTGGAGAGCGAGAGGGGTTGGTGCACACTGACCCCTCTCGCTCTCCAGGCTTCAGCAAAAGCCTACATTTGCCCCATAGGACGCACGCACATTTCCCCTTCATTTTTGGAGGGGAAAAAGTGCGTCCTATAGGGCGGAAAATACGGTATTTGTTAATTTCATTTCCTTTATATCCATTTGTGTGTCACAAGAGAGGAGGACAGCCACATCGCCACTTCCACATCCATATTTACCTGTTTTAACTGCTGGGCGCAACACTATTTGCCAGAGCAAGGATATTTATTCTGTGTCTAGCAGGGATATTTTCAGCCTCTGCCTCAACAGTGATCTTAGAATCAGATTTTGCATTGTGGCAAAGGGATTCCTTTGAATCTGTTCCTTCAAGATTGGGCTGGGTACGTGTCCGTAAATGGTAGCTTTAAATGGTACTTGTCTAATTTGTCCATAATCCTGCGTTGTTCTTCATCAGGGGGTTTGAGGAAGGAGGATATCAATTCTTCTTCTGCTGGTTCCACCCAGTCAAATTGGTCTGGGGCCAGCTGTTTGGGGATTGGCTTATTCTGGTAGGGAGTCACTTAAATTGCTTGAGTAGACACCTTAATTTTTTTCTGGTGGTTCTGCTTTTATTGGGTTAAATCATCACCCTGATTAGGCTTATTTGACTCTTTCTCCGTTCCTGAGTTTGTGATAGATCTTTGCTGCTGTTCAAAAGGAAGATGGGAAGACCTTACTTTTTTAAAGTGCCAGTGGGGAATCACAACTTTCTTGACTAGTTCAAGTCCCTCTCTTTGCTATTGCAATTAGTGTCTGTTCCCATAGTTCTATATTTTTGGGTAGATAGCTTTATTTAGGTCTTTTGTTAGGTCTAGTATTTCCCATTGACAGTTTGCTGGAAAGGTCAAGCATGTGCTGTTACACTCAGGGGATTGTGGCTGCCCCTTATCTGGCCAGCACAAAACATTTTATTCAAACGTTTACAGTGTTTTTCATTCATAAAAGAGAGTTTATAGGCTTTAATTAGGGACACGGGTGGCGCTGTGGGTTAAACCACAGAGCCTAGGGCTTGCCGATCAGAAGGTCGGTGGTTCGAATCCCCGCGACGGGGTGAGCTCCTGTTGCTCGGTCCCTGCTCCTGCCAACCTAGCAGTTCGAAAGCATGTCAAAGTGCAAGTAGATAAATAGGTACCTCTCCAGCGGGAAGATAAACGGCGTTTCCATGCGCTGCTCTGGTTTGCCAGAAGCGGCTTAGTCATGCTGGCCACATGACCCGGAAGCTGTATGCCGGCTCCCTCGGCCAGTAAAGCGAGATGAGCGCTGCAACCCCAGAGTCTGTCACAACTGGACCTTAGGCTTTAATTAATAACGTTATTATATGGGGGTGGGTTATAGGTTTGTTTATTTTTTGTTCTTACTCTTGTCATGTATTTTGTGCTTTTATATTGCATTTTTATGTCATCAACACTCTGTGATCTGTGGATTAAGGGCAGTATGTACCTTTAGTAAATACATTTAATAACTTCCACAAGGTGTGTGTCTCTGCTTTGCACCCTGCTGTTTGATGGATGAGGTGTTGACAAGCCCTTTTGCAGAGCCCAGCATCCTACTGACACTGTTTTTCCTATAGAGGCTGCTGTTTCCTAAGGGGATTTAAAATTCAAAGAGCAACTGCCATTTTTCTGTAGCGCTTTCCTGGCATATGGGGCTGTGTTTGTGCTTCTGTATACTTGCAAGCATGCACCTATCCCCATGCATTATATTCATGACAAGAGGATGACACAGCCCTCCACAAAGGGTTAATGCATGTCTGTCTTTAATCCTTCTATGGCTTGGAATGCTGTAAACAGCTCCCATGAATGAATATGTATGTGTGTATGAGACAAAGCAGTACAGAAATAATTTTATGAATGAATGAAATGTCCCTCTCTTTTTCTCTCCCTTTCAGCTCAGAGGGTGTCTGGAAGACCCTAAGGGCAAACAGCTCCTCCCGACTCCCTCCCTTTCCCAGGTCCGCCTCCACGAGGGAAAGGCCAGCTAACACCACAGCCCCACCCCAGGGGATAAGGGGACAGATTCCACCAGGAGCACCCCCTCAACAGAAAGAGCAGCCCTCATGCCACCCTCTCAAACCTCTCTTGTCCCAAAAGTGGCGCAGCAGCAGCCCAGCACCCCAGTCAGTCTGTGTGGCATTTGTACGGAGCCCCCGGTCGTCTCACGGACTATTGACCCATACACCACTAATCCGCTGCCACCAACCAGGTCCTCCCCGGTAAATCACCTACTGTATTTTTCGCTCCATAAGACGCACCTGACCATAAGACGCACCTAGTTTTTAGAGGAGGAAAACAAGAAAACAAAAATTCTGAACAAAACAGTGGATGTATGATTTTTGTGGTGCAGGCTGTAGCCATGGACATGCTATGTGATCTGATGGTGAATTTGGGGTGACCCAATGCAAAAATCCTGAGGATCCATGGGCTTTTACCTCCCCCCTCCCAGGCAGCCTCCTTTATCTCTAGCGTCCCATATTTCCCTCTCCGATTGCTTGCCGATCAGCTGCTTCCTTTCAACTCCCACCTCTCTCTTTCAGAAAAAAAACATGATCTGCTTTTCACCCCTGGGCAATTTGGCTCCAGGGACCATGCATTCACTCCATAAGACGCACAGAAATTTCCCCTTTTTAGGAAGAAAAAAGTGCGTCTTATGGAGCAAAAAATATGGTAATCTCAGTCAGGTTCTTAAGTTGACAAAGAAGAGTGTCGTTTATTGCAAACACAAATAAACTTCAACTGCATTCAAAACGTTGTTACTCTTTACGTTGTTACCATTTATATCCATGAAGGGAAAAGCTTCAGTTGTAAATTTCCATACACCAAAAGCAGGGCCTCTAGAAAAGAGAGCACTCCCCACTCCTCACATTCTCTCGTTGCCACAAAAGAACTGCAATCTCTCCAGAACATTTAATCCATTTTACTTTTTAAAGCACAACATTTTTTATAAAAAATGTGCTTGGACTCGTCACATCTAATTTGACACAACATGTGCATCCTCAAACAGATGT